GAGAGAGAGAGAGAGTTTCTACAATCTTCATGGCAGTTATGGTTTTTGTTACTGTTTTTCTCTCTTAATCCTGCTGTTAACATCCTGCTCTAGCTTGTGCAAGTGAGAAAAAAGAGGAGAGAGGAAGGAGAGGGAGATGAGAGGCTTTCTTCAACGTTAATGGCAGTTCGTGATTTCTATTCGTGATACTACTTCTCTCTCTTGAACCATGCCTTATATTTCTTCTTCTTCTTATTTTTGTTCTTGTTACATTTTTTTTTTTTTTAACTTCCTTTTAGAGGGGCTTGCATACCTTTTTTCATGACTTTAATAGATTTTTTTAAAGAGTGCTGTCTTTCATTTTTATTTTTATTTTTTTTGGGCGCCTAGGGAGATGGCTCCCAAGGGCACCCAACTGGGCCTGTTTGGTTATGTGGGCTGCCTAGACCACCTGGCTGCATGCAAGATTTCTTTTTGGTGTTCTTAATCTGATTTTGAGGTGCACTGGAGTCTTTATACGGTTGCAGGTTCATTTGTCCTATGGAGTTGGACACTGAATACATTATTGAAGGTGTAAAGGTGACAATGCTCGAAGCCAATCATTGTCCTGGTGCAGCTCTGATTCATTTTCGTCTTAAAGATGGTCGGTGCTATCTACACACCGGTGATTTCAGAGCATGTAGAGAGATGCAGAGTCATCCACTTCTGATGGCTCAAATGGTCAATGTTCTCTACCTGGATACAACATATTGTAATCCAAAGTACAGGTATTAGTTTCTAGGGAACATATAGCATAATCCTATGGAATATGAAAAACCATAATCCACTGGGGTCATCACAGTTGATGAAATGGTGGTTGGTGATGGAGAGAGGAACCTCATGTCCTGTTCTGGTGGGACTCACTCTTTTTCCTTTGTCATTTATCATTTTATTTTACATTGAAGATCCAAATTGATGGTTTTCTTTTTGCAGTCCATTGGGTTATGGTATATTGTCCCAAGTTTGTCTATCAGTATTTGGTGCTTATGTAATGTGATTCCATTTAATGTGATTGTTGTTTGATTCAGTTTTTATCATTGGACATGATTTCTTGTTTCAGATTCCCATTGAAGGAGGACGTTGTGAATTTTGTGGTGAGGATTACTAAAAGTAGTGTTGCAAAGCAGCCAAAGACCCTCATTGTTGTTGGGGCATACAGCATTGGCAAGGAGCATGTATATCTTGCAATTTCTGAGGCATTAGGAGTATGGAATTATAAAGCCTTGCAAGGATATTCATAGCATTTCTTTGCTCTTTTTCTATCTCTTTTCCATGCCCTTATAGTTGTATCTTTTGTACAAGATGGCTTTATGTAAAAAATATTTAGTCTTGCACAGCTCATTAGGAATTTGGCAAGGGACAAGCACACTATCTATCCTTGGTAAAATTTGTCACTATCACAATGTTCAGTTCAAAAGACACCCCAATATGGCTGTTTTTTCAGTTGGTGACACCTAAAATTACAGGAACTTGGTCATGTATGCTTAGTATGTTTAATACAGACATCAGTTTTACTTGAAACAACAACTTATGAGATTTCTCTCGGTATACTGTTCTTTCTTCAATGTAAGTTACCACAATCCCTAAGCGAATCATGTATTTCATTGTCCCCCATCCTTGGGGATATAGTAGAATCAATAAGCTACATGTGATACAAGATAACTTATTTTAGAGAATCAATATGCTATAATACAATGTGGTACAAGATAACTTATATTAATACAGCATTGTGTTATATGATATTATGATGAGTGTGTACAATACATGAAATATTCTGTTCCCTGGGTGGAAGTCTTGTGGTTTTAGGTGCTACTAGCCTTCTGTGCCTCAAGTTGGTGCCTAAAATATTATCCTCTAACCTTTTCCCAATTACCGAGTTCAACTTTAGTGGGCTTTACCTATAAGCATTGTGGTGGTCCCTGCAGGTTCAGATTTATGTGGATTCTTCCAGAAAACGGATTCTGCAGTCCTATGGTTGGTCTGGACTCGATAAAAGGCTTTGCTCTGATGGAAAGAGTACACCATTGCATGTTCTGCCCATTTCATCCTTGCACCCTGAGGTTCATTATTTTGGGTTTATTTATTCTTCCTATGCAGAGACCAGAGAGTAACTGATTCAGTATCCTCCTTATTAATTGTGGTAACTCCTTTGTTTTTTTCCTGGTCTTTTCCAGAGGTTGAAGAAGTATTTAGAGGCCTACAGACATCAGTATTTGTCGGTGTTAGCATTTAGACCAACAGGTATTTTCATACATGATTGCTATCACCAGTTTAACTTTTTTGTAATAATTTACATCCACTATGAACTGTGATTTTATCTATAGAAAAGATCCTGATTTGTTTGTGGTTTCACTTCCTTCAGGCTGGACATTCTCGGAGAAGATTGGGAGTCAGTTGGATTTAATCAAACCCAATAGCAAGGGAAACATTACGATCTACGGTGAGATATTTTGACTTTGGTTACTTTGATCTTTATTAAAATGCTCTTCTATGCACATTGACATCGATCAGGTCCTGATATGCTGCTGGCTACAGGCAGTGCGTTCATTTCCTGGTACGCACACTACCATGAGTAAATATTAAAAATTCTTGAGCCATTTAGAGGCAGTATGGAATTACAGTTGGCCTGCATATGCTTAGTGTAGCAACATTACCATCCCAAATCCAAATGCGCTAGTTCTGGATAAGTTTTCATGCCTAGCAGGTCATAAGCACTTAGAAATTTTTTCAAGGATATAATTTAGATACAAATAAATTTATAACCGGTCATGCATTAGTTAAGAAACAAAACAAGGTGAACCTTTAATTGGTATCGTTAAAAGTACATGCAACGTGAAATCGTCACTAATTAGAAAGTTGGATTGGAAAATAAAACCCTTCCCAAACTTCAAGTCCATCCTACTGAACTATATCCGTTCTTACTTGCTAATTTTAAAGCCAAGGACCACACAAGTGGGAGGCTTTCTTCAACCCTCTGCTGACATAACAAATCATTTGGGATATATAGATTTGTGCAGCAAGAGAGGATAGGATCTCCCATTTAGTATCAAGTGTCAACAAACAGCTCATAGCCAGAGCATTGATGGTTTTGACTGATTTTATAAAGCCTGCTTTCAATCACCAACTCCTCAGTTATGATTATGAATGAAATGAGTCTATCGAAGAGACTAGGATCTACAATGCCCTTCACCATCAGTGTTACATGATCACTAGTGTTTAGTATGTTGGCTAAAATAGTTGATATGACTAGACTTATCAGTATATTTAGTACTTTTGTAGGTAAAATATTAACTAACCTGAAGATGAGCAGTAGAATGAATGGGGTTGGCTCAACGTGACCTGAATTCAATCAAGTTCCCCCATGCTCATCTCTTGAAATTTTTTTAGCAGTTTACATCATTTATAACAAGTAGTGTCCCAAGGTGTTAACACATGTCGAGGTATCAACTCGTTTTGACATGCAACACAAGGCCAAGGGCCATGTATTGCGGTAACACTGTTCACCATTCAATGAACAAACATGAGAAAATTTGCTGAAAGGTGGTCTCATTTATTATATCTTCTTTCACAGGTGTTCCATACAGTGAGCATTCTAGCTTTACGGAACTCAGGGATTTTGTTCAGGTTTGGGTTAACCCCTATCTTTCTGCTACTTTTGGTCTTTGCCTGCTAATTAATATCATCGTCCTTGACTTTTAGCATGAAATAAGGAAACAAAAATGTTTTCATCTTCATTTCCTTTCTAATCAGTTCCTTCGGCCTGAAAAGATCATACCAACTGTCAATGTTGGAAAAGCTGCTGCTCGTGACCAGATGCACTCACATTTTCGGGAATGGCTGAAAGCTTAACAATCGAGAGGTGTTAACAGTCGTGACTATCTCTCTACCAATGGTGGCTCTCATTGCCTTCTTCAATAAACTTCCTCTTTTCATGTATGGAACTTTAGACCTTGAATTTTGATAATTTATTAGACGAGCTGATTGGGCCCTGCAAAACTGTGAGCAAATGATTTTGACCTTTATCTTGTTGGGGAAAAAGGTCATACGACATTCTGCCGGCAATTTTTCAAAGATTCAAGATACGCGTAGCACACCACAACATGCAAGGGGAAGAGAAAAGAAGATTTTGTAAGTCGTAAGATGTCATCTTTATAGAGCCTTTGAGATGAAAGGAATGCATGATGATCTTGAACTCAATGGGTTTGTTCTCATTCTTTACAAATAGTGAGTCAGTTCCAGGTTTGGTGAGTCACATGGAAAGCAGCGAGCCGGAATCATGAAGAGTCCAGATTCCATGCCTACATACCCCAAAGCGGTATGCAAACATCTCTTCAAAATAAGAATCTGTTTTGTATTGTATACTTTTCTCATTAGTAATCTGTGATTTGTACTAAAGTGGAGATAGCTAGCAGAATTGGTGCTCTGTCTCTTCATAACTAGTTGTAGTCTCAAAATGTAAATTATAAAGTCTCTGTGGTTCAGAGTTTATTGTATCAGGGGTGTGCCTATCCATGGATGATTTTTCCATTTCAAGGTGTCAGGACAATCCTTCTGTATTTTTTTCCACTTTTAAGATTGGATAAGAAAGCATTAAACTATGTTTATTTCTTCTTTTCCTGGAAATTTCAAGTAAAAAAATAGTTGAAAGCATGACCAAAATACGCAAATGTTTTGCTTACTACAATTGATGACAGTATGTTTAGAAGTGTTGCCATGCAATCCCAATGGATATTTTCAGAATGGTATCTCGTGAATCTATTAATGGATATATTATATTTGCAGATCATTATATTGTGAAAATTGACATGAAAGGAACAATTTCTGCAATACCGATCATAGTTAATTATCAACAAACGCAATCTTCTGCCTACTAAATAGTTTTGCAATGGCAAGCATATACTTTCTAAATATTTTAGCGATCACAACATGCACCAAGGAACCAGCAGGAAATTAAAATTGCAAAAGTTTTAAGACAATTTGTAAAAGAGTGGACTACTTATTGAAAATAACATATAACTATTTGTAATTGGGATATATTATATGAAATAATTGTGTTGCATGAAAATGTGCCAATGAAAGTCTATGTTAGGCCATGGGGTTGCTATATTAACGTGTAAATTGCATCATCATCATTGTCAAAGATTTTCTCAACTAATTGGGGTTGGCTAACATGTAAACTGCATATATAAGATATATAAATAATAGTAAGTCACCATGTAAACATATATTTCACAAAGATAAGGGAAATAAAAACATAGAGTCGAAATTCGAGGTTGCCAAGATAAACAAAAGATTGCTGTCCTGACAATCTGAGTCTTTGTGATTTGATTTGTTTTGGTTTGTTTTATTCTATTATTCTTTCAATTTTAATTTTTGGTTAGTATTTACCACTAAGCACGTGTTTGCCTACATTTGGTGCAATTTGACGTGCACCATATATAATTTTATAATTCGAAATATTTAAACAAATAGAGAGGGATGAGACAAATATATATTTGTACTTTAGGGAGGAAATAGAGTTGGGCAAGAGGAGGGGAAGGGAAGGAATTGGGCTTGGGCTTGGGCTTGTGCTTGTGCTCGAGCAGTTAGCAGTAGATGTTTGCTACATGTCAAGTTTGATTCCTATTGCTGAACTAACTAAAAAAAGAGATTCCTACTGCTGAACTAACTAAAAAAAGAGATTCTTAGTGCTGAACTAACTAAAAAAAGAGGAGGGAAAGGGATAGTTATGGAACTGAAGAAATTAGTCTTATATTTGGTTGGAAGAGAGTAGGAGAATGAGGAAATCTATAGAAGTGTCTTTTGCATATTTCCACTGGAGCACTTACTTGTATATGGGTAAAAGAGTTCCTTGGGAGGATTTTTTCAACTTGGAATTTTGGGATATACTTTAAAATCACCCAAGTATTTTGTAGTTCTTAAACCCTTATGACTGACCATTCAAGAATTGGATAGTCTCTAATCAATCTTAGAATGGTATTCTATCAGGCAGGTCTAGAGTGCATATAAATTTTTTTTTCTTTTTTTCTTTTTGAAGTTGGTCTTTAAGTTGCAGAGGTTACATCCCAAAATTTAGGCTCCTAAAAGTACTCCTATATAGGGTTTTATCCAAGTGGGAAAATGGCCACAGGAGCATATAAGCTTCTGGAAATATTAGAGTAGAAGGGAATTGTTCTCGTGTATATTATTATTGAACATTCTGTTTCTTAGGGATTTGAACCTGTTTGACTTGAAGAAAAAGATGAACAACTCATATAATCAAGACTAATTTAACTATGCAAATTCGGAATAGTGGTAATAGTTTGTGCCTCTGCTCTCGCTAATCTGCCAAGTCTGAGTATACCCGGCTGAGTCCTGAAACACTGCTCTCGACTAATTTTATTTGCCTTGAACAAATAATGGACTATGAATGTTATGATTCTCGGTTTGCAGGGGAAATCATCCAATTTGATATCAATACACCTTTGCCCAAGAACTAGTAATTTGTTATGGGAAAATCTAATACAAATGGAAGGCAAATGTAACTGCTTTAAAGCAAGTTTGTGAGGTCTTCCAAGCCATCGCAGGTGTTTTGGTTTCCTTTCCAGAGTAAGAGGTAGCATTTGGAGCAACATCATTACCCATAAGTGTTTAAAAATTTAGATCTGTTGAGCGGATTGTTCACCAGAAATCTGGTGTCAAATCGTTAGATTGATAATCTAGATTGGGTCTGAGTTTGCCCGAATCAGCGATTTAAAAAATATGTAAACCATAAAATAAATGAAAAATAGGGGTTTATAGGGTGAGTATTGTAGAGAGAACCTAAAAAGATATTAGATAATTTAAAAAATAGAAAAAATATATAAGGTCAGGTTTTTAAGGGGGAATCAGGCCAAGACCATATCATCCTGTAACTGAATCGGTCCCTATAGGTTCTCATCCAAATCATCAATCCAGATCAAAATACGTAGGGTTTTAAAACACTGTTACCCACCCACCCCATTACGAAAGTTGTCGCTCGTAACTTTTTGTGGACTCGAGAGCTTATATGCGACTGCAATACCTTTTGTAGACCTAGTGATTTATTTATTTATTTATTTGAACGGTAACATACGACTTATCCTTAATTCATATGTAAAACACAAGATGTTCAAGCAAAGACACAAGATTATAAAAATGAAGTAACCAACAGAGAGAGAGTATGGACTCCTCATTTGACAAGAACATCGACATCTTCATTCGCCTCTCTATAACAATGTCGGACTGTTGTCATAGAGGTTGACAAAATATCCCAAATTTGATGAAAAATAGTCTTTAATCTCCAAGGAATAAGGGCCTTTCTCTTACTCCAGGCAATGACATTTGTTGAGTCTCCTTCGATAATCTTGCCCCCTTCCAAAGTGCATAGCAATTTCAAACCTTTTAATAAACATTGTGCTTCTGCCTAGTTTGCTGTTGTGATACCACAAGGACTCGAGTAAGAAAATATAATGTGACCCAAATTATTTCTGATGAGTCCACCATAACCAGCTGGCCCTAGATTGTCAAGTGAACTTTCATCAAAATTAAGTTTGACGGAATTCACTGGTGGTGGTATCCAAATAATCTCACTACAATTGTTGGTGGTAACACCCATAATAGCCACTGCCAAGGGATTGCTAATGATAAGACTTTTAGGAATAAATCCACTATCCTTATGTGCAAGAAGCAATCAGCTGCAATTGCCAAAATATTCGATTTCAATGTAGACAGATCTGTACTTATACTATCAAATACTCTTCTATTTCTTTCCTTCCACACATTCCAAATAAGGCTAACCCAAATAGATATCAAAGAATAATTCTCATTTTTTAAATATCGGGTGTGATCCATTGGTCAAGAAGAGCTTTGACATTTTAAGGTAATGACAGATTGAGGCATTGCCGAGCCCAATCCCAAAGATATGTCACAAAAGGGCATGAGAAGAAAAGATGTTGCGAAGTTTCATCACTGTTTTTGCATAAGATACATATATTGGTGATAATAAACCCTTTCTTTCTCAAGTTGTCAACAGTTGCTAATTTATCTTGACACAGGATCTATAAGAATAGTTGCACTTTAAGAGACACATGCAATGTCTTAATCTTAAATAAACCACTCTCCAACAATAAAAAAATATCTGATTGTAGGTTGACTTAACTGAAAAATCTCTTGACGGGGTAAGATCCCAAATTAAGCTATCATCTATATTTGGAGTCCAATATATGTCATTTAATAATCCCAACAATGTCTGATACTCTTCAATGAATTTGTCTGTACCTACAAGGAATGGATCAAATAATATTAGTATAAACACCCCAGTAGCCTCATTGACAGATGCTAACGGGTTTAAAGCTTTTGAGAATACCTCAGGGAAAAGGTTCCTCAACAGGTTATCTCCAATTCATTTATCAAACTAAAATAGTGGATTATCCGTTCCCCACTATTTTTCGAAATTACCGTAGATACACAGATTTCTCATAATCAATACATCTCCAAACATGAGACAAATTTGTCTTGTTTCTTGGACTTTTAATGAGGCCAAAGTTCAAATCAATTTCATATGTATCTCTCAGAACAAGCACTCAGAAAGACTCAAGCTGTGTATGGATCCTCCACCACCATTTTGTAGACCTAGTGATATATTTAAGGCTACAAACACACGGTTCTAAAATGTGAGGTTGGGATTTAGTTATGGGAAAAGTTTATATAGAGCCCAGGCTCTAAGCAATCAAAATAGAGCCTAGGATCTAAACAATCAAATTAGAGCTTACTTCAAAATTTTCATTAGAAGAACTTGTTTTGATGCCCAAATATCATCAAATTAATCATCTCGACATCAAGATGCATGGACATGAGAAAAAAATGGATTTCAAGTTTTGAAAATAGTGCATCTTGTAACGTATGTTTGCACTGTCAATTTTCAGGAGTTTCATATTTTTATAGATCTGCTCAATCTACATAATTTTTTAAGCTTTAAATTTTATAACTAAATATAAAAAATATAATTTAAAGCTCTCACAAAACTTTTTAGTATTGAAACTATATTTCTCAATACTATTTGAAGGTGGGCTCTAATTTGATTGTTTAGAGCCTCGCTCTAGATAAACGGCACCCGTTAGTTATTGGAGTTCCATGCTAGTTTGGGCAAAAGAGGGCACAGGTTATTCTAAGACGCTGATTGTCTGTGTACAGATAAGACGCCAGTTGTAAGGTACATGGTTACCACTTTGTCAACGTTGATGGGGTTCAACATATTTGACAGCCATGCAAATCTCTACTAACTATAAATAAAACCACATTTTGTGTTTCTAGATTTGGTGGGAGAGCAATCTTTTGCAAATCTCCACTAAGTATAAATAAAACCACATTTTGTGTGCCATATTTCTAGATTTGGTGAGAGAGCAATCTTGTGAGATTCGTTTCAAAGTCTTTTTGACTTTGGATATTTTGTAAATTTAATATAAATAAATTAGATAATTTTATATAAAAATTATTAAAAAATAAAAATAAAAATTTTAAAAAATAAAAA